ATTCTACAGATAAATAAGCGAACATTAGAAAAATAAGTATGAATCTAAGGTCAAATTCTGATTCACCAATACAATACTAGAAATATTTGTGGATGGAAAATTAACTACGGTTGTCAATTTATCGAATTTGTGAAGATATTGAGTGGAATATATCTGCTATAGGATTATGTTTACTTAATACAAACTACTTACTACAAAAACAAATTATAAAAATATTAACACTGAGATTGTAAGTATGAAATGTACTTTAGACAACACAAGGAAACATGGACCAGAATATAAACATACTCTCGGTGATGACTTTCTAAAAGATGGTCTGGAAGTTCGTGTATTCTGGAATTCGGATCATTTAATAATGAGTTACCATAAATCGTTATACTTAAGTAGCTTTTGCAAAACTTGATTACACTAATTTAGGAAGTTGAAACAACAAGCGATAAAAATTCTAAGAAAAAAACTGACAATAAAAATAAGCAGTAGTATACCTATAAGTCCAACAACTTTATTTGACGATTCATGCAAGGACGTAACTGATGAAACTTCTGGTTTCTATTTCATTCAAACAAACAAAAAACAATTAACTTGAGGTTGAAATAAAGACGATAGATTTTATAACATCATAAATCATAATAGGATAAGTCAAATAAACACAAATATATACAGTGGTAACAGAATAAAGTTTTACATTGATAACTGAGTGATTGCAGTGGTGTTTTCTGACTACATATTCTCTAAATTTATTTTTTCACTTGCTTTAGAGTTGTATAGAAATTCATGACAGTAAATAAATCACCCTATCTAAAAGTGTAATCTAATGAATATGTATCTGTGAACAAGTTCAGGATTTCCAACATTAAACGACGTTTTGGAAGATGTTCTTACTCAAGTTATACAGTGAAAGTTATCATCCAACACAAATCATATCTGTAGTAACGCAGGGTATAATTGAGGTACTTGGTAAACTACGACTCTGAGAGTGATTTTTATAGAGTTTGCTGTCCTAATAACACGAACATCATATGAACTCACTCTACGGAAATTATTTGTTTCAGGTTCGATCTGTAATCAGTATCACAACTAATCACATTCAACTGAAGTGATATTAATTGTATACTTGAATAAGCACGTTACGAAAGTAAACACATAGTTGTTTGATTGGTTAATGGGTAGTTTTTGCACACAGACAGGATAAGCAGGTTCTTTATCTGCATGCATGTGTAAACCATGGTCTATTTTTAAACAATACCAACTTCTAGAATAATCATCGCCGATGCGTATTCAGGAGACCCGTCTATAACTCAAGCTTCAACTCTAAAACATTACATTGTAACCAGCTGACAATGACTTTTGTTTGTATTCTGATTATTCACTAATATTCACTTAACTTGTCTGCTGATTAGACAAGAGCTGACATAAATAGGCTGATTTTATCTACTATTACAACCACAAAGCAAATCAAAATAATCCCCAAGTCAACCGTCAAACCATTGAAAGGGGTAAATGAGACTTGAACGTATCTACGAAATGCCGTGAAAATAGCAAGAAAAATTTTAGTAGCTTTGAGAAACGTTACAGTCTTAAACACAATACTTTACAGAGTTCTTCGCTTTCACAGGGCTATTCAAATCTACTGACAACTTCATAAAAGTAATGTGTGTAGTCCATTTTCAAGAGTTTAAATATGATAATAAAAAGGATAAAATCAAGGTAGTAGCTGTTTATTCATACAGGTATTAAAATGACAGATGAGATAGTTTAACGAGATTAAGCGATCCTCTCAACCGTTTTAAAACTATATAATCTAATAAATTCGAACTGGGCACTTAATACGTCCATAAGCCTACAGGATTAAAAGTATATAATCCATTTGATTTAGAGATTGAAAAACACGGCTACAAAATCAATAATATACTTGATGAAAGCACCAAGCTGTGATTTGCATGAAACACGAAATCAACAAATTACTGGTGGTGAATAGTAAATATACCATATAAAATAAGGAAATTATTGACAAAAATTCAACCCACAATGAAAAGGATGTAAACTCACCTTACCAAAAAAATTTAGTAAACTCGATTGTCTCATCTCGCCAAAACAATCTGCAAAATAATACTTTGTTTATAATTTTACCAGACAAAAGCAAACACGGAGTAATGTAAAAAGGACGAATTTAGATTAATTAATTTAGATATCTCTATAAGAAATACCTGCCGAAACTATTTAGCTAAGTGCCGATTCATATCCTCGAACTGTGATGGATAACTTTCGATTCAATCAACTAAACTTATATCATTATTGCTAAGTTGTCATGAAAACGCAGAAATGCACAAGACTAGTGGCACACAAGCAATGAATTTCATGGATGGTTTAGAGTTTATCTGTTGCGGTACTTATATTGACAACTGGCGATTTAGGATAAAATTAATTCTAATGCCCACAAATGGAAGCAGGAATTGTATTGTATAGTGTAATCAAAAAACTTTGAACATTTTATTAAGGGAATTTATCATTATTAATACCTGCCTAATGGCCAATCTAATTATAGGGTTGTCATCAAAACCTTGGAGAGAACACAACTTTATTTATAAATGAGGATAGGCATGGTAAACTTCGACTTACTCTGAAAAACATGAACAGTCTGATTTAACTTATTACTGCAAGCTAGTATTCAGACTTCTTTCTTCTCAAGCCTAATTTTAAAACATGAACATACTCTTTCTTCTTCATGCAATACCAGTATTCACGTTTTACAACTTCAGGCCATTGAAACTATCAAATGTTTATTATACATAATGCATAAAAAAGGATCTAACCGAAAACAATATTGTTCGCCTATATATGTTGTTCTAAATTTACAATAAGGGAATATTTCAAAGGTTAACAAGTTACGTTTGTTGATGATAATATCAGTGATAGTTTGTAGCTCAGAGTTAGCCAGTTAATATCATAGAAAATGTGGGACCCTACACAAATATGCATCGTCCCAACTCCTAACACCTCATATCACCAAATAGATAAATGAAACTTATAGGATGAAAATTAAGGGATGAAAAATATTATCCAATACAATGAAGAGTCATACAAAAAACATGCATTCTGAAGGGAATAAATGATATGCAAGTTAAAATTATGAGAACAATAAACAATGACTGCGGTGACACTACTATGGTCAATTTTAAGTCGCCACACAACGCTCATAATCATGGATTATGATTATCACAAGTATCGTAACCTGGAAGTTCAAAACTAGACGTAGTGATACAACGCACTAGAAGTCATTGACTTTATAAACTGATCCTATTTTTTATCTTATGCTAGTTTTTTCCCAGCTTACTCTATTCCAGATAACATTGAGAGTAACGAAATATGGAAGGTTTGTGTACTCATCAAACAATTTACTATGCCTACACCGAACCCTACGCTTGATCTCAGAACTCCTTAATTGATGATGTTATAAGTCATTTGGAGATATATGTCAACAAACGCTAGTAACTTACTGAAGTCTTCTACCTTTGTTGGTTTGTACACCGAAATAGAGAAAACAGCTTAAATTGATGTAGATAAAGGTTAAAGACAGGTTACAGAAAAATTACAGTTATACACAACCTAAGTCTCTTCATTTCACAATCAGAAAAAAGATATATGCCATTAATCAACTATCCCAAATTTATTAGTAGCCGGAAAATAGGCGCGAAATTTACTTCAAACTCACAGGAGTGAAATTTAGGATCAAAATCAAATGGATAGTAATTTTTTCCAGTTTCGCCTAAACACTGAATAACCATATATTAGACAAAATCATTTATTAAATATCATCGCAGAGTGGATCTCTGCCTCTTTTATAAGAAGGGAGATTAGTAACATGACACCAAGTCCAACCATACGAAGGCTTTGTTAAACAATGCTGTAAATAAATACGATTATTCATTTTACGAATGTAACTCACTAATCAGGTGAAGTTTAGTTTATTCTTAGGTTTGAGTCATACTACTGTAAGAAATACTGATACCACCGCTTTCCACAACCAGAAGTAGGTCGAATCGGTTTTGAATCTAAGGTCAATGGCTGAAAACCGAGTGCATTATTCGTTGAGATGACCATTACTTTGAAATCCATGACTACTAAAACACATACATAGAAATCACCAAAGTTTAACAGAAATTTAAGAAGTCCCCTCTTAAATGGTTTCTATCGTGATATTGATTAGCATATATATATTACCGCGAACCATCAATGAACAGTACTTAAACGATATCCTGGACCCTGATTTATACGTTAGGACGATGTTATTTGACTAAAAGATTTAAAAGTGGATTTGGACCTGTAATTAATGAAGGTAACTAATTTCTTAGTTGTTCAATAAAACAATTAATTACACTTCTAATAACTAAAAATGTCAATTCATTTTACATACCTCAAAGTATATTAGAATGAGCTCTAGATCAACAAATATCAATTATCTATCATTCTGATATATAACTTTAGGTTTATGCCAACCCTCATCTAGAACACCTTCAAAATTATAATTTTATGCTGTATTTTTAAAGAAATTATTGTTATAATACAAGTTGAGTACAGATGTAAAGTGACCGAAAATAATAATTACACAAATATTTGTAATTAATTACGAAAGCTTATTTTTATCGAAACGTTAAACAAACAAAATATCACATTATGCTCCTGTAAATTCACAACAACCTGATTAGAATACTTACTATTTGACAAAATAAAAGATAAAAGAGAAAATTAACAATTTTATTATTTAGCAAGCAGGTTAATTACAAGTAAAGATAAGCAGAAATAGAACTTTTGTACACAAAGATATTCTTATAAAAAAATAATAAGAGGGACATACATACGTTATAATCGTTGGCTCTGTTTTACACATGATCAGATGAAAATATCAAATAAATGTGAGGGTTAAAAGAAAAAAAATATTTAAAATATATAGCATTGCATGGATTGTTACAAGTTAGTAGAGAATAATTTCAGCATTAGAGTTAGACTATCTTTTCAGTTTGAATATTATCCCCGGAATTCCTAACACGAAGTAATTCAGATCCAATTCCTACTTCAGAACTGGAATCCTGATTTGAAAGAAGAGGGTTGATTTCGTTGTCACAGTATGCAATACTATTACAATCGACTTCATCAGCGTCAAGAGATACAACTCGGTGATAAGTTCCTGAAAGACTGTGACGGCTTGAAAGTTGACGGTCGGAGGAGAAATTAAAATGTCTTACACTATGACCTGTAGTCAAATAAAATCAAATGTGATCAGTTAGATAAACATCATTAAGGATCAGTGACTTATATTTTTAAAATGAATGACTAACCCAATACCGACAAAAATTGAAGATAACCACACAACAAGCAACCAGTAAATTTTTCCATACTAAGGGCAAAAACTGATATTGCAATCACAATTCATTTGAAAAGGGATTTTATCATGGATTGATATTGATTTAAAGAGGACTAGGAATCAGGAAACAACGGCAGAAATTACGACCACATACTAAATCAGACATAAGACCTAAACGACTCTTGATCGTAAATTTGGGGAGCAACCAAGCTATATTTATTTATTTATTTGAACACAAATATTGGTACAAGAGGGCACCAGATAAATATACTCCACACAATAATAATGAGAATGGGAAGAGATAAATAATGTAAGGTGCGTGTAAAAAGAAAAAAAAATAACGACCACAAATTAATGTATGGTAGTGAAATAATAATAATAATAATAATAATAATAATAATAATAATAATAATAATAATGCAAGAAACAAAAAGGTACAACCAGAAAGAATTCTTTCAGTTAAAGAAGTTGCGGCCACTTTTTATGAAGTAAAAGAAGGTTACAGCACGATCGTCACTGGCTTCTATTCTGAGCCATATCTGATAACGTCTCTAGACACTGTGTTGCACCATCTCTCGGACCACAGTTAGGGAGTCGAGAAGGACCAACACAAGCTAGTCCTTTGTAGCTTTCCTTCATGCCACGACACCATGTCATACACTAACCACCTCTCCGCTTCTTCCAACCAGTCCCGGCGACGGCAAATAATGCACGATGTGGAATTCTCAGGGACGACATTCGTAATACATGTCCAAGCCACTGGAGTCGATGTTTCAAGATGGCGACCCCAATTGCATTATCGTCACTGCGCCCGAACACACGATGCCGAACCCCTGCATTACTAACATGGTGTTGCCACTGAATGTCAACAATCCTTCGGAGACAGCGATGATCGAACACAGAGAGTCGTCTAACGTCCTCAACTCGGAGAAGCTAGGTTACACAAGCACAGAACAAAACTGCTCTCACCGACGCGTTGTGGATCCGACCTTTTACAGCCAGACTAACATCACGAAGGCGTCAAAGGTGGCCCAGATTGGCATAAGCCGCTCTGGCTTTCACTATTCGTGCATTGATCTCATCACTCACACCACCACCAGCACTTATGCAGCTACCCAGATACACGAACTTCTCGACTACTTCTATCTGCTCACCATCCAGAGTGAGTACAGGATTGGAATCCTGCCAGTCTTGTAGAAGGACTTTGCACTTTGAAGGTTCAAAGCACATACCATACCTACGGACACTAATTGCCAACTGATTAAGTGCGGATTTCATGGCTTAGGCATTATCGCACAGTAAGACAATATCGTCCGCATACTCAAGGTCGAGAAGTCTTTCTTCAGGCAACAGATCCACACCGCCATTACTTACATCCATCAGAGCTGTTTCCAGAATATCGTCGATGGCAAAGTTGAAGAGGAATGGTGAGATTGGGCAACCCTGCCTAACCCCACTGCTCGAATAGAACAATGGAGAAAAGTGGTTGTATGCCCTCACTCTGCCTGAGGTGTTTGTATATAGGGCTTTTAGGTTGTTATTAAACTTCTCAGGCACACCCTTCTTCAATAGACAATCCCAGAGAACAGCCCTGTCCAACGAATCGAAGGCAGCCCTGATGTCAAGAAACACTACGATTGTTGGCCTTTGATAGGTATGGCGGTGTTCTAACATTTGGTGGAGGGTGAAGATATGATCAATGCATCCTCGACCAGAACAAAAACCAGCCTGCTCCTTGCCAGTCAATCTTTCTCGAGTTTTGAACAACCTACGAAGTATGACGGAAGCCAATAGCTTGGACACAATCGGAAGTAGACTTATCCCCCGATAGTTGTTACAGAAAAGATGTGAACCTTTTTTAAAGATAAGAACAACTATCGACTCATTCCATGATGTTTGAACACTCTCTAGTTCCCAAACCTTTGTAAACAATGTAGTCAGTTCCTTAACCAGAAAGTCACCACCATCTTTAAAAAGGGCTGGAGGCAGGTCATCTAAGCCCGGTGATTTGCAGAGTTTTAAGAGTTGGAGTTCATTTGGTGGATCAGTTGTCACCGGCCATGGAGGGCAGGACAGTCTGATCGATGTTGCCGGAGCAGCAGATCAGTTGAACTTAACCCTAACTCACTGATAATTCGATCAATTCATCGAGTGGCCAGTACAATCTTTTTAAATTTTGAATCAGTGTTAAAAAAATAGCTCACAGCTCGTTTGTACAAAGACGATCATTGTAAATACGAGTGCGTAATATTATATGAGTTAAAAAGAAAAACATTTTACATAGAACATAAAACACAAATACGAGATCATTTTAACTCTAAGCATGTAATTTAATCATAAGAAACTCAGAAAAATTAATTTCATATCCTACTATTCTGTTAGGAAGAGGATATTATCACAGCAACATAATGAAATAGAAGAGGATAACCACTGTCATATTGTGAGACGCTAATCGATATCGTGTGCTAAACTCAAAAGGCAGAATTCTGATTACCGATTAGTTAACCTACATAGTCATCAGGACCGGTAACTTTGCAAATACTAAGTGATACACCGAACAATGAATAACAAGCGAGAGCTTAATGCTTGTTGGTTCTGTCAGTCAGTCAGTCGGCTACAATGTAGGACCAGGCACATATCTGCATCGGTCCAAGTTGCCATACCTCATTAACACAACAAGATGGACACCGGATTCATAAAAGTAGTTAATTCAGAGGTGGTAATATATAAAAGAAAGATTGCAATAAGGATATAGTACAGGAAGAAAGAATTAGTTCGTAGAAAGAAAGATATGAAACGATTTTAATCTCTTAGTTTAAGGGAAGACAGAGAGTGTATACACCGACGCCATTGTAATCGATTCTGAGCCATGTCACCTAGAGTCTCCAACCATTAGTTACGACAGTCACGCGGACACCAACCAAGTAGTCTGTATCGACCAACATGGCTCAGATTAGAAGCTAGTGACTTCAAGCATTGATGCCACGTTTTGGTTTGGCCGCCCCTAACTTTCTTCCAACTATCCCGAACATCGGTTAACATTGCACGTCGTGGTAATCGGTGTTCGGACATACGTAACACGTGGCCCAACCATCTCAGACGATGAAGATTCACAACCTCATCGACTGATTTACAATCATTCCCTAATACCCTGCGTCTAACCTCACTATTACTTACCCGGTGATCCCAGCAGACGCCAGCAATATTTCTAAGGCATCTGTGGTCAAATACTGGTAGCTTACGAGTGTCTTCTACTCTTAATGGCCATGTTTCGCTGCCGTAAATTAAAACAGAACGGACTGCCGCACAGTATACTCATCCTTTTATTGATAGACGGATATCTCGACTTTGCCATAGGTGACGTAAGTTGGCAAAAGCCAAGCGAGCTTTTCGAATCCGTGCTGAGATTTCGTCAGACACCAACCCATTAGGGCTGGTCAGACTTCCAAAATAAGTGAAGTTGTCAACACGTTCGACTACTTCATTCCCTATCCTTAGTTTAGGTGTTGACGCAGACCAGTCCTGAAGCAGCAGCTTGCATTTAGAGGGAGAGAAGCGCATTCCAAACATTCTGGCATTGTTGCTTAGTGCTACCAAAAGACTCTGCATTTTATCAGCGTCTTCACCAAACAGGACTATGTCATCTGCGTATTCCAAGTCGATAAGTGGACCTCCTGGAAGGAGATCAATACCCGAGAATTCAGTCGACGAGAATGTTATTTCCATCAGTAGATCTATCATGAAGTTAAACAAAAATGGAGAAAGTGGACAGCATTGACGGACACCACTTGAGGTTGCAAAAGTAGATGACAGTTCGCCATAAGCTCTGACTCGACTGGTAGTGTTCGAGTAAAGGTTTATGTACTTCTGTGGTACGCCTTTCAATGACAGACACTGCCACAGAATCTCGCGGTCTACCGAGTCAAATGCTGCTTTTAAGTCAAGAAAGACCACCATTGTCGGACGTCGATAAGTATGCCTGTGTTCTAGAACCTGACGAATGGTGAATATGTAGTCGATGCAGCTACGACCAGGTCTGAAGCCAGCTTGATTCTCTCGTGTTTGCAGTTCACGAGTCTCAGTTAGGCGTCTGATAGTTATCGAGGCTAGTATTTTAGATACTATATTAGTTAAACTAATCCCTCTATGGTTGTCACAGGATGATTTTAACCCTCTCTTATATATTGGGATGATAAGTGATTGCGACCAGTCAGATGGGATAACGTCTAACTCTCAGATCTTAGCTAAAATATTAGTAAACCTAATCACTAAAATTGGACCACCATCCTTAAAGACCTTTGGAGCCAATCCATCTGGACCAGCTGCTCTTCCTCGTTTCAGGTTAATTATAGCCTTTTGAACTTCTGCTAGAGCTGGGGGACCTACTTCAATGTTCCATTCACACTGTCTGGGAATGGAGGGTAGTTGTAGAGTAGCTGAAGGCCAGCTGAACTGTTCTCTGAAATGTTCCGCCCATCGTTCTAAACTTTTGGACTGAGAGCAGATCAAAGTGTCGTCTTTTTCCGAAATAGTCTGACTTACTCTTGACTTATTAATTCCAGTTTCTTTTGTTAGTTTGTAGAGCTGTCTTGTGTTCCCTATAGTCGCCGCCTTTTCCATCTCTTTTGCTTTCGTTGTCCACCACTGCTCACGGTCGTTCCTTAGACTTTTGCCTAACCTAGATCTAATTTGTTGTCGCTCTTCATCGTGTTCAGAGCCTGATGGGATGAGTTTACGAGAATCCATCAGTGCAATAGACCTTGAGGAAATCCATTGGTTCTTTGTAACCCTGTGGTTTAAATCACTGATGGAAGTCACTGCTGTTTCCATAGCTGTTTGTATTATTTTTTCCAAGCAACATCTGCGTCAACCTCGTTTTCAGAACTTCCTAATTGTGACGTCAGTTGTTCCTGGAACCTACTTTCGGTTTTCTCGCTACTCAATTCAGTTCTAATGGGTCTTTTTAGCGTGGCTTTCTTGCGTCAGTGAGGAACAAGTAGATGCGTGCCCGTATTAGGGCATGGTCGGAGTTCAAGCAGGTACTTCAGAATGAGCGATAATCTTCTACCGACCCTCTCCAACGATGACTGATGGCAATATGGTCTATTTGAGTCCATCGTTGGTTTGGTGTAAGGAGGTCGCCATGTTAGACGATGTCTCTTATGCTTAAAATTTGTGTTTGCTAAAAATAAACGATTTTCTGAGCACAGTTGCAGCAGACGATCACCATTATCTGTTCGTTGTGCCGGAATACTAAAATTCCCACCTAAATGCCTTTCTGTTTGGTTTAAACTACCTATATGGGCGTTAAAGTCACCTGCTACGAGTACTATGTCTGAACGTTTAACCTTCTGAATAAGTTCAGATAGCTTTCTGTAAAATTCATCTTTCACTTCATATAAGCTGCAGTCGGTGGGAGTGTAGGCAGAAACGACAAAAAGGTAACGACGTGTGCCCCTATCCTTCCGAGTTCTTACGGAGCCGTTTAGCCGAACAGCACATAAACGACTGTTAACGGGGATCCACTCTAACAGTGCTTGTTCCGTCCTCATGCTTAGTGCTATCCCTACTCCTGCCAGTCCACGAGAGCTGGCCATCGGGTCACCAGATACACGGAGGGTGTATCTCGATGGCTCTCCGTTTTGCCGAGGTGAGGTCAAGTGAATGACCACACTGGGATCCTGTATGCGTGTTACAGAGACACAGTATACATCAATGGTACGAGATTCTAGGGTTCTAGCCAAGGAAGCCTGTTGACCGATTTGACATAGGGTTCGTACGTTGAAGGCTCCAATGTGTAGTTTGGAGCGAGGTTTCAGTATCCCTGGGACAGTGTTTTGAGCACTAGAATCGTTGGCTATGGTGACACTTGAGGGGGAAGCCGAAAAGGAAGTTTAGAGGTGAAAGTCGATGTAGGAGGAATAATAGGAAGTGAAGACGGAGGTTGATTATGAATACAGTAGTCTTGAGTGATGTTAGAGGTATGAGGGCGGTTGTCACTTCCCGGTTGCCCACACCGTAGAAGGGTTCTTCTGGAGGTACCTGAAAAAGAAATTGGATTAGAGGTGGTCTTAGTGACCTTGGAGCGTGACCACAGTGCCCAAGTGACAACTGCTTGAGGTCGGTCACACACGACCTTTTTGTGTCACCTCCGTACTTGTTGAGACCTTACCGCCGGAGACGGATATTCGTGGGATAAGAAGAGGTATGCATTTTAGGGTCGACCTTTTCTAACCCCACCCCTCCTTGTGGGAAGGCAGCACCGCTGTCATGCTGGTTGTCTGGAGGAAACACCTTACTGCTGTCACACCTCTGTACAGTCAGCAGTACGACTTCTCCTTCGGACCTTGGGTTTGTTGCTTTTAGTCTTACCGCTCTTTAACCGACCTGTCTGACATGGTAGGACCTTGAGGAACGGTTGTTCCAGCTAGTATAGCTCGGTTGCTTCATCACAATAGGCAAGCCCAACCACCACGTCAAGGTAGCAACAACGGTCCGGTTGTCGGTTGTGGAGCTCCACCAACCCATTAGCCAGTCAAAAGGCGAAGATAGGAAGCAGATCAATACTCTATCACACTTAGTTCAATTATGACTCAAAGCAAATACAATCATAAACTTGAGATCCCTGAACCATACAGTACACTAAATAAAATTCACACTTTAAGCAGAATCAAGCCACAAGTGGAGGGGAAGCGAAGCAAATGGTACATACGTAATTAGCAATAATCAGAGAATATTAAAACGTATAACGACAGTTAATAGGTTCCCTGAAAGCTTAGAATAAAGGGAATATAAAAATGAAACAATACAGTTATCTATTAACTATACAATAAAAATATAAATAATAGTAATTAAAGAAAAATAGTTCTAAGATTTCAAACTTTTTCATCCTGATTTAATAATTACGAGACATTATTAACTCACCGATGTGTCTGACATGTTCTACAACATCTCGACGCATATCAGACACATCCCACATAGACCGCCATGAGTAACAACAACTCGTTGGTTCCGAATTAGGATCGACATATGGCGTCCAAGTGAAAGAGAAGTGATGGGCTATTGCGGCAATGAACATCTCGATACATATAGCGAAATTCTGTATAGGCACAAAATAAAACAGTTCGTATAAAAAATTAAGCAATCCTAACAGCCAGGTTGTTTGAGTGGTTGATAAAAAATGGACATAAGCCAGAGCAGACTAACTTTTTAAAAATACTTCAATCATAAAATACCACTAAGGAAAAGAAGTGGAATAAAATAAGGTAAAGAATAAACTGTTAAAACAAAGTCAAATAAATTAGGATATAAACAAAGCTATTCGATATTCCCTGGGACTATATCTCTTGAATGCACATTAAACAGTCTCAACACTCGCTGTGAAATGGAATGAATTATAATAACTTATTTCTTCTTTACACAAAGAATAAAAACAAACATTTTGGGAATGTACTTCTAAAGGCTAAAGCATTGGGTTGATAGCACAAACCTCGCCACACAAACTACAGTTTGGTTAGTGGGATAGTATCACTAACCTTCACAAAATTACATGAGACTCAAAGCCGAGTACTTGATCCTGCACATATGTAAATAAGTTTCATAATTAAAAACTTAAGTGACAAGTTATCCCCATTTGGAAATTAAAAACACGAAGTTCAGTCAAAAGATCTCTTTTCAACGAAATTATCAAGCTGTACAATCGTATATAAGTGCTAGTTCCGTGAAGAAATATGAGCAAGGAATAACCAAAATGATGTAATTGAAAGGTTATAACACTATGTGAGTAATAACAATAGATTTAATAAGTTAGTAACAAATTATAACGTGAATGTATTAAGATGATTAACATAATTTTGTTAAAATAATTAAAGGTAACAGAGGTGCAAAATAAATTAAGTGATATCATGAGTAATTATGAATAAGATAATAAGAATATGAGACATAAGTAAAGGGAGAAATGAAGTAATAATAATAATAATAATAATAATAATAATAATAATAATAATAATAATAATAATAATAAAGGTCAAGGTGACGATAACGATAGGACGGACTTCTTTTGTACACACAGTTCTGACTTGAGCTTATGAACAGTAAGAGCTTCTACCATATTTAAGAGTTGGATACGAAGAAACCCAAGTAAATTTGGATGGATCGTATATACAACCTTAAAATCAACCTTTGGACCAGTAGAATGATTAGAATTGATTAGAGTTGTTCAAGTATGGAACATCTAACTACTTTCATATCACCCTTATAGAACCACGCTGGGACATGTTCCCGTATCCGAGTTTAAATCGGGTGCTGGCTACGGCCGGTGTACCTTGCTCCACAAGAGCAGGTGAACTGGTAGATGCACATGGAGGCGACCAGATGAAGCGTATCCTTTATGGATACAGAAAACAAGTTGCTACTAATGAACTTAAGTGATGTAAGACATAATATGAGCACTCTAATAAGAAAATTACCAATCGCATGAAATATATATTTGGTTAGTATATGCAGAGTTTACATCACACAGTGTATAATTGCTACTAACATCAAATGGTTTTTAAAGAAGTATCAAAACATATAAATATATCTAAACAAACTCTGAACTACTAACAAGTAGCATAAACAATATAACAAAAGTTATTATCAAAATATGAAAATTTCGTATTTACTTGTAGTGCGATACCAATAGACTGAACATCATATAGTTTCCAGGCTTCCACCTTTCTGATAACACCAGTAGCAGCAAGTACTGCGATTAAAATGGATTGCCTATTAAGAAAAAACAAACGGGAGTTAAAACAGCATCAATTTATAAGCTACTTTCTAAGATGAAACTAAAAAATGCCGACAAAATCGTAGCAGAAAATGCAACAGAAAATGATACGAATGATATGTTATTAAATTCATAGTACAGAGGAACTAGTGGCCAGTAAACAAAAAAATTTTAATTCCACTATATAATAAAATCTATTGCTGATATACTGAATGAAATGGTTTCATCTTGAATTGAGGTGGATTGTGATGACGTGGATCGTTGCACTTTCGTTTTGAATCCTGTGTTATTATAAACTGACAAAATAAACTGTGACAGAAATGTTTGTAAGAACATATTGATAGTCACAGACCTAATACTGTAAATATTAGACAGAAATACAAACCGTTGCCAAACTTTATTTAATAGAAAAAGAAGGCAATAATATCATGCATTTACACTGGCAATCTATTGACAAACGAAGTAAATACACTCCTTTACCGAACGCTGTGGTCGATTTACATCTTAGCCAATTATGTATGCTACAACGAACAACGACTTGTCATACCGTGGAAATGTACTTACAGGAAGTGTTTGTAGGTAGACAACGTACTTCTTGATCTCGGATGAAAGTCAGCATTATGATCTATCCGGACATCATTGTCTGTGAAATAGTAGAGTAACCGACTGAGCATCATATCGGTTAGAGCAGAGTTTCAGGTGACAGAAGTATACGATTAGAGGCGGTGATTGAAGTTCAACGGCTGGTAGATGATTAGTTTTAGTTGTAAGTCATAATCCATATAATAACCAATATAATTTATGAATGGCAAACTGAGAAGTGTAGATTATTGTAAGGAGAGGAACGAGATCCTTAATATGATTTGAGTCATACCGTAGAGATGGGTGACGATACCATTACGAACCATTTTGTATCCTGGTTACAATTATCCACTTAAAATTCATTGCACCTACTACGATGTGCATTTAATACAAACACAAACTACTATTAAAAATACAAAGCCAACACTAAATTACACGAGCAGAATTTAGTGTATTAAACATTCAGTTTCAAAACAACTCATTTTTCAAACATAAAGTGGTGTTCGTCAGGGTTTCCGACCTTCTTCATTTGCATTTGACTTTGCCATCAAAATTCTTTGGGAGATAACCTTTTCAATCTTTTTAGAGAGACCTTGGGTAACACGGGTCGAAATTAGTAGCGTTGGAGCAGATGCATTTACTGTTTGTACCCCCTCAGATCCTGGGTTTTAAAATCAGTTCACATTTTTTTATTACACGAATCCTAACTTTTCTCCTTAGAATCCTATTCTCTGTTTCCTAACATCACTGATGATGTTACTACTTCTACTACTTCAGTAGTTGTCTTAATAATTTCATATTGCTATGACTATATAGTATGCAAACTCGAAACGATCCACACATGTGCCAGGCTCTATATTGTTTTAATTGACTGATTTTCGATACACCTGGAATCAGTTAATACTAAACTTGTAATAATCCACCCTTCAACTTGCTACTAAAACCATCTATATTTTGGCATAAAACGGTACTTGGAACGTCACGAAATTAGATGTTTTCAATTCCTAAAATAATATTACTGCAGTTCTGTCGTATGATATAATTAGAGCTATTAAAGCTACCATTTATAAAATACAGTTATTGTAAGTTCAAATTGTGGTGGCCGTATTTTCAATAAAAAGTAATTAAACTCACCAGAAAGACATGAAAACAACGAATTTGACGCACAGAAATTTGGCGACCGGTTTCATTGGACTTAATTCTAATCGAGTACACCGATAGAACATTACTAAACAATAGAGTGCCCACTGAAAGAAGAGTAAGAAAAAACTTTAGGAAAAAGTATGTAATCTGATTTTTCGAAGAAATAAAATAAGATTTTGAAAAGCTTATAAAGCTGCGAATCTAAATAGCTGTATTACCGAAATATGATATCTTTCAAACACATTTCTCAACTAGACAGATTTAAGTGACAATAACAGATAGTGATTGTAAATAGGAAGATAAATTTCTTTAAGTAGAGCCATCAAAAACCTATAAACTCTAAACTGAATAAAACACGACACTTTCAAGTGTTATAACTAGCTAAATAAAGTTCACTCAATAAATATGAACAAAACAGTCTACATTTCCAAGCTTACACCAACATATGTTTGTAGATACATGGTTGGTAGAATTGTATTTGGTTTGAAAACATATTTTACTACCGATTATCGTCAAAAAACTAGGGGATATAAAACAATTTTTTCAGTCCCATTTGTAAACATTTTTAGAACCACTGAAAATATTTTGATGAAGTTCGTTTAAAACAGAACTGTTTAGGAACCTCAGCCAGCTGTTAACAATGTTGCACCTAACACACATGTGCATTGATGTAAGTTGCTACAACTCGCATCAAAGCTGCAAGGGACTAAGATGAAGATCAAAATCGTCAAAATACAGATATTATGAAAGACAGCAAACAACCACACATACACAACACAGAAACCGTTTTAGGCTGGGTCTGGATCGGCTGAACATGTGAACACACCACAAAGTCGGCCGAGGAAATTATTGTCTTAAAGGAATATCTACGACAAAATTGAATAATCCCGAAAAGTGAGCAGCCCTGAAGAATTCCACTTAATGTGGCAGATCCACATTATAGTTCGCCACAGCATGACTCAATTGACAGTATTCGAGTAAGGTCCTCCACGAGCTAACGTACTTTATTGGTAGTCCTTTTAACAACAGATACTGCCACAAAACACTAGAAGATCAAAATGTGGTCTTGAGGTCAATAAACAGAACTGCCGTCAGATGTTAAAATGTATTTTCATGTTCTAAAATTTATTAAAGTGAATAAGTGATCAACCCAATCATGACTAGGTCTGAAGTAATAACTAGTTTATTCAGCTACGTTGTTTATAAACCCGTAATTACGGGTTAGGCGATTGTATACCGCAATATCTTGAGAAACTTTATCAGCCAAGCGATGTCTGTCAGTTATTAGAAGAGCATTGCAGAACCTCTTCATATGTTGAAACAACTGGATGTGGTCTCTAAAATCACCAGATGAGATCAATATTACATTATCATATCACTTCACAACCGTTATAAAAAATTTGGATTTTCGAGATACATAATCGTTTTTCAACTGGTTCTAAACTAACTTGCGGAAAATACAGAAGTTGATAACATATTTTACGTTGGTATTATTTTTACCTAGAACTCTAAAGGTTAGGCTGAGATTAACTAAAAGGACAGCTTGATAAAAGCTCACCATCGAGGTTAACGATATATTCACCTTTCAAGTTAACCATGTAAACCAACTAATTTGAATTGATTTTGGAATTGTGAAGGATTCATAAAAGCTGGAACATAAAACTCCTGAATTTCAGCCAAGAAACTAACTCTAATGCACATGAACTACATAAGTACTGAATACTTTATGAGTAACAAATAAAGCAAAGAATTAAACTTGAGTTATGGTTTCTCAAAATATTCATTTTACGAGTAAGATAAATGAAGTGGATGATTCAAATGGGGAAAAATAGTGAAAACTTATGATACGTTACTCACAATTTGAGAGACATTGTTTATAATAGTCAAGTAAAGGAACGCGTGGCGAAAGTTGAAGTCTCCTTCACCATAAACGCCAACCATTTCACATATTCTGTAATCAGATAAATTTCACATAATTTTATCAGAAAGCTGAAATTTCAAGCCGTAAAAATAAAAAACGTTCAACCGCACAATATCTGTGGACATCTAGTTGTAGAGAAATTATTTTAACTGGTTTTTGTAGATAAGATGCTAATAAACAAAATTAAGTTTCAAATGTAGTGTGGCTCATTCTGAATGCGCCCAATTAAAACAGAATCTTCATAAATAAATAAAACGAAATGACCAAAACAAAATCTATTCCATTCAATAAAAAACACTTGTCACTAAGAGTGCAAAACAAATATACAGCAATAATGTCAAAAGCTTCGTTTATTTATGATACTGTATTAAGTCATTAGATTAAGTTGTCTCTATAACGGCCTCCAAGGAAGCAGTGGCGTTTTAGAGCACGCAAAACTCGTACAAAGATCTCTTATCCCATCAGGCTATTTCATAAAATAATTGTCTCTCCTTAAAAAATTACTGTAATTGGACATAGAAGCACCATAAACCATGAAAGTGATTGGTATAACCGGGGAGGCAAGATCATGTGAATATCCAATTGGGTATTATGTTCTACAAAGGATAAATTAGTAATGCGATGGTAAAGCTTTGACAACAATTTTAGTTGTTTGATTTGATATTTATTTAGAACATAAGTGACTCCATATAGTAGTTTGAGGAGAAGATATGATACTTTTTAAGATTAAATGATTACCTAAAGCTCTACAAGTGAGTACAGAGAAGGACAGAATAAAGCCAATAGTAAAGGAACCAAAATAAAAGAAACGACATGAGGGCTGATAATGATCATGTACAATTCTTAATTTACAGTTCAGGGAAACGAGCATAAACACGTGAAGTCATACACTGTTTGCAACTTATGTGATAAAACCACACTACAAATGAAGAATAACCACCAGAAAACAATTATTGGGTAGCGTAATCTTCGAAAAGCAAATGCGTATATAAGAAAATCAACCTACAGTGCAATAGCAGTTGTTAGTGGACGAATAACGGTGTACTGCAAGGCCCCGTGACGACAGTGGTCAATGAATACTCTGTAACAGATGAAAAGAATTAACTTCATTCGGACCATCACCGAAGACAGGAATAGTGTGACATGAATCAAGCTGAGAATATGGTATTTTTATAACAACAAAACTATATTTCTAAAGATATTATAACTAAAAAGTATTTCTTGTGTCTATTTAATACTAACCAGTGAATTAAACATTTTTTACTTTTAAAACACGATATCATCATACAAAGACGAAGAAGCATAACATCAATAAAAGACCTAAAGACCAATAAAAGATCTTCCTGGCTTCGTTATTGAGTACCATGAGGATTTACTTGCAATTTTTCTTGCCCTAAGTGTTAAACTGACGATAAGTTTGCATAGTTTTGCCATGAGTTAACAGCAATTGAAGTATCATAAAATTATTGGGTTACCAACAACATCCCATTTGATGCCAAATTATGACGAAAATAAACTACAAATCGAATCTAAGTCATGATTGTCTCCAAAACCTAAGATTTAGATAGGACAGCGATTGAAAATAAATATTCATTTAAAGAAAGAAAATACACATATTGGACAATATTTGTGTAATGCGTAAAATAAGTAAGCTGACCACAGGTATACACTTTTAGAAAACAGATCAGCCTTACCACTTTATACTTTATACAGAAAAAACGTAAGCAACAGATCTAAGTTCAGTGAACCTAAAGTGGTGAGAAATCAGGAGAAATCTAGCGGACGAAAATCAACCAAACCAAAGGATACCTTTTTGAAGTAATGACCCTGGGAGAGAAGTAAGCCACATCCACATGAACCTCTAAAATTTATTTAGATTACTAAGGAGGGAAACTGGTATATGCGCATAAATAATGAACGACCAGAGCAGTGAAAGCGATACGGGAGTTAATGACGTGAGTACCCTAAGTATTTGCAGTGTCTTTGTAGTCGAAGCCAAACCAAAAAGAAAAAGGTGATTGAATTTCATAATACGAACTAATGAATTAAATCAAAACTAAATACACAGTTAAAGGTTGATTGAACAAGTGGTTTCAACTATTCCCCCGTGAATCTTAGATTGTAAAAAAATGGCAAAAACTTCAGACGTTTGCGATTTAAAAAGTTTAAAGATAAATAAATGTGGATACGTTCTAAGGAAAAAAATACTCCGGAGTTATTTACAATCACGAAAATTTTGTAGAATGAACAAAACTCCACATAGATGCACAATCAAAAGAATATTTTCCGTAACATTTTGGTCACAGTATTTTATTTGCAAAGTGACTGGCTGATTGACATGACGGGTTCAGAAAGAACGCCACAACTACTATTTAAAGATACAAGAGTTATCTTAAAATAGCCGATCTATACCATGCGTGATAAGAATGGAATATTAACTAAAATCTGTGAAGATCAGAATAATAGACGTTACCTTCCCATTTTCCAAGAGTTTAAGAAACAAAACGGCGGCAAGTGTTTCATTTGTGGCTTCTGTTCAATAACGCATCGTAAGTCAGGAAACTCGCTCCTCAAATAATTAAGCAAAAACGCAAGAAAGTTGTAAATGACATAAGCTTCATAGCATTCTCTTAACGTGTCAAAGTAAATTGCAAATGAAGGGAAAATCAGTGCCAACCACTAATGTCAAGTGTCAAGATAATATATATGACGTTTACCGCATCAGCAGCATAAATCGGAACCATCCACAAGATTCTGAAATGAAACTCGTCAAAAATCAGACAAACCTGATAATATGTCTTTGAAGAAGTGGATTGGTGTAATTGATCATGTGCTCAATTATGGTCCATAGTGATATAGGTATTGCACCTAGAACAAAAAGTCCGGCGACGAACCACGCGCTGACTATTGCCGGAGCCGATTTTTCGTACAGCTTTAAAATCAGAAAAGGAAGTGTAATACATATAAGTAAAGAATAGCAAACAACAAATATGGGCTTGATGAAAGCGCGCCAACTCATGTTATTAAGGTCAAATTTGCGCGAAGCGCTTTTCTCACTTAAATTAGAAGTGCTTCAAGTGCTTGTTAATAGAATGGTTGAGGCTTGAGCTTATTGAGGTTTTCTGTCTGGAAACGATGGGTTATGGATCGTTTTGAGTGGTAAATATGTATGAACGGACATTCTGAGTGCATGAGATTCTGCTAAACTTGCTCTTCAAAGTTACTAGAACCACTTCAAACGTAAGGAAGTTCCGATACCTGAGGACATTAAATACAATCGAGCTTGCTTTGTCTCGCATAAACCTACAAGTATCCGAAACTTGAGATTGTCATGAATTCTGAAGCGAAAGGAGTGCTCTGGACGATTTTTTGATGGTTTTGTCACATATTGGGTTATAATGAGGTAGCTTCCGAACATCCAATGCTGCAAAGATTTGGTATTCAATTTTGTCGGAGCCTTCCCAATATAGTTGCGATGAAATACAATGAACTAATTCAGTAGTTTTACATTAGATATACTGAAAGTTCTCTTCATTTTAAATGAGCCTGAATAAACCAGTAGGAAGTGGGTAAAACCTTATACAACCAAACTAACCAAAAGTCAATAATATTGTGTTAGGACAAGATGCAGCTAATAGCTTAGATTCCTGAACTTCCTCTTCAAAGTAGATCTTTAGTGGAGGATTATTTAAGTCGCACCCGTGATTTCGGTCGCAGGACGGTCAGAATAACTTACAACCTCCAAAGATAAACACTAACCTATTGTTGTTCTTTAAAATCGGATCAACCCTAAAGAAGCCATAGACCATTCTTCTGATTCCAGCCCCACGTAAAAAGGCCAACATTACCAGTAAACGCAATGTTGTGGTCAGTCAATCCTAAGGAGGGTCTTCTATGTAGAATGGAAGGACTATAGGTTCTAACATTGAACCATGAGCGGCCTTACTGAAACATTCCTTATCAATAGACAGTAAATCATACACTTTGACCTTAAACAGCAATTCTTATTAATCGTAATACCATTTCTGACTGTCCCCACGCGTATAACGTAAATCAGTTGATTAATAGTACACACAGTACTAATCTTCTTCAGCCTGTCCGTAAGACAACTGTGACTAACTATATCTAAGGCTTCTGAAAAGTGAATACGAGCTACACTAACCTGATCCCTACGACCAGGGATAACGGCTGTTTTATCCATTGCAGCCAGTAGATTCATTTTCCATGAGTAGCTGCTCCTAAAGCCGCACTCCTGAGATGTCGGGAAAGTCATGAATGAATGATTATCACACGAGCTATAATTGACCAGAGATCCCATAACCACAACTAAAACAGTAAGAAGAGCAAAGTAAACCCATAGAGCCGAATTCGCTTTTTAGGAGTTGAGTTATTAGAATGGAAAGCTAGGTTGCGGAAGTACGCATAACCATGGAGCAGATTGTGAGGAAGGTTCACGGGTGAACTCGAGGAAGCTTTAAAAAGCTCAGAATGAACCGAGGATATCCCATCCAATAATCTTTTGGAAGAATACTCCAGAATCTCTGAGTGTAGCCTCCCGATTGAACAACGCTAATCCATTGGGGTTCCCCCGCGTGGATTCCCCCCCCCTGTGTGCTGATCGGATAGCTGTAATGATGATTTCGTTTTCGCTAAAAACTATAAATACCTGACAGTGTGTACTATAATTTGACCCCGTCTGGAATAACATTCCTTCCACTAGTCTTCTGTCTTCTTACTGTGACTTGGAAGGGTTCTAACGTTCCAATGCTCAAGTTTTACGCGTCATATCCAGAATATAAGTATCTAGAGATATAAAAATTGGTGATCATTCTCCAAATTAAAGGATCAAAGTCAGCCTGTAATTGGACAAAATTCAATGTATTCCTTTCGACCAATCATCTACAGGTTTCTTGCTGGTGTCATTGAACAACATCGATTGTTAATGAGTCATACAGTATCTTTCATTAACTTGCTGATCCAGAAAATGGCTATCTCTTCCGATCAATTACAGTTACTATTTGAGCGACGACAACAGCGTTTCAAAAAGATCCAGTTGAATGTTTTAAACAGTATACGCACAAGGTTTCTAAATCATCCATTTTTTGGAGATGTGACAGTTGATGAATTAATTTCTCATCTGCATACAGAGCTGGAAAATGACTGCAGAACGTATGGACATGTCGTTGAAAGCCTCCGTGAATCCTTGATGAACGGTCGTGTAAACGAAGCAGTAGAAGTCATTCGTGATCCGCCCAGTGGTCCAAAAATGTCCATTTCAAAGACATGCCTTGTCGTGGGTTCAAATCCCATTATCACTGAAACACAATGTACAAACACTGACTTATCCAGATCACAGAAAGACGATGTCTTAATAAATGATTATGAAGTTATTGCATTACCCGTCCACGAAGAAACAGAAAATGAATCGAGCAGCATAATGAAGACAGTTGCATCAAATGGAGCTCATCATTCCGCGACAAAAGTCCCCGATGAATGTACTTATCGAGGTTCTCTAGTTGTTTTACCAGATATGAGTTATCTTAATGAGTCACATTTTCTTAATCAAATACCTAACAAAAGTGAGAAAATACGTCGAATGCATCACGTGATGATCAAGAACCGAATGAACTTTTGATAGATGCTGATTATTCTAGTGATCCATTATCTACTTATGAGATTTCCAAGAGATCTGATGAAAATATTCTAGAAGAATCAAACGTTAATGACCTCATATCAAGTGTCGCTGGTTTTTACTATCTGATCAGTTCTAGTGGACTTTCTACTCAATGCGGGAAATATGTTTTAAATAGTGTCACACTAAATGTAACTTGGGAATATGAGGACCCAGCATTATTTCGCGGGGGAGGATCCAAACTTTGAGTCTTCAAAAAAAGAAGGGGAGATGATATGGTGGAAAAAAAGTCAACTTTCGATTGGCTTACTAATTATGAGTCCTGTTCAGCATTACTTCCGTTTTGATTCAATGTAATGATATCTCAATGTAGTATTTCTTTTCTTTTCTCGTATGATGTTTTATTCTGTATAATATACGTTATTCATGTATTCAGTTGACATGAATTATGCTCAGTATATGATTTGTAATAACTATTTTTCATATATGTGATTACATCATAATTATTAATCAAAGTGTGTGTACAATCGATATATAAATGAGCGTTTTTTCGACTAAGGTCGTCGTTGTCGTGTTTTTGGATTAATAAAACTTCACTTATACCACTCTATGTGTTCTAACTTTCGCGTCGTGGGAATTGCGGAGGTCCCTCGTTTCCAGTATAAGTGGTAAGCGTTTCCGACATAACAATCAGCGACGACCAAAACAAGACAATCAGCATTCAGGCGACAAGCTATAACACCGATCTTTTGAGCTCAATGCCCGAGAGTGGAACAGTTTCTGCTTAAATCGCGGTATAGGGTGAAGAGCTAATGGGTTCGGTGGATCCAGGAAGTGCTTTGTCGTTGGTACTCGATTTTGTGTGTTGTAGCTTTCATCCCTAGAAGCTCAGGCAAATCCTTTGGTGTTCATCCTCACCATACTAAAACAACCTTTCTAAGTGCTTAATGCATTGACAAAAACGATTACCATTGGTGCCGTAATTGTCACGTCTATAAATTGTCTATTTGTTGGTGTTTGGATGACAAGTTGTTTCAATCACCCTATTTGTTTAGCGAAAATCGGCGGTTGAGGTCAAGCGTATCCTGATCTTTTGAGTTAAACCAGCTGGGATCATAACAAGCGTCTCTTCCTCGAAATATAGCGACAAAAATATGCAGCGTTTTCTATCATACTTATCGACGTCCTTATAGAAAATAGAAAACATTATTTGACTATTCACAACTGCCATATCGTGACTAGTGGGTGAACGATAGCATAAGAATTCATTTATTCAACAATTAAAACAAGCTCACTTACTGAAAAAAAGTACTGCCATGATATCAATTACAACTGTGTGGACAACAATGATAAAAATGAATGTTTGTAGAAATATGGTCTACTATGATATTAGTACTGCTCTTATAATAGACCTAATCCTAAATTTGTAGATTTGTCATGATATAACTGCCTAATCTATAAGATCTTACGTGGAAGTCACACCATCGACTACACCAACTCACTGTATCGTATCAATTACCAATACATGGTGTAGAACAAGGTTAGGCTAGAGAAGGAACAATATATTTAATATGAATAGAAGATATAAGGTGACATTCAGATGGAGACCACGCCTGCATGGTCGAGCCATGCCATCCGATCAACTCCAATCCATTCAATTCATTCTCCGCGCCTTCTCCATTGTTAGGTATTTCCCCGAGTTAAATATTGAATATCTATTTTCCGAGTAGTCTCGTGTTCACAGCTTTGTGGATTGTGTGGCTATTGTCCAATGCCACTACATGTTTTCATACTGTTAGTTATGTACATAGCTAACCAATCGATTTGTCGCTTAAGCGCCCACCACATCAATCTGGTCTGATGTGTCTGTAGACTATCTCTGTTGCATATGACCCGTCAGTTGGAGGACATTATTATCCTTTTGTATTAGTGTGACTCATAATTCTTATTCATTTCGGTAAGACAAGCAATACTGGTCAGTATGTTTGTGCGTCCCACTTAATGACTTAGTTCCTTTAATTTTTGTACCAATTGAATTGTTTCTACGTTTAGAAAAACATAAAGTTTAAAGCCAAATTGTCTTTGTTCGGACTATAGCTTTCACATAGACTC